CAAAAAATCTTAGAGGCGCCAAGAGTCACCAAACCTCTCTCTCACAGCCTGAATACACACAGCTGACAAAGATGCAAACTCACACAACCACAAACGTGCACACCTGGTCACACACACACACACACACACACACACACAAAGTCTCTCACACACAGATACAGAGCGATACACAGTCACACACAGGGAGAAACAGACACACACAGTTGCACACGGGCCCCTGGAGACACAGAACAATGGGCGCATTGTCTGGGCTAGCAGCAGCTGGGGAGGAAGGAGCCACAGTGTGGACGGAGGAGGCCATGGGGGCCGCTGTACCACCCCCCTCACCCCCACAGCATCCTAAGCGTCTTGCCTCTTCCAGAAGCCAGATGCTGCTGGGACCTGGGTTTACCGAGGGACTGGGCTCCCCGACGACCCTTCCCCAGCCTCCAGCGATGGCTGGTGGGAGAGGCAGAGCTCCCCTGTGGCCCAGGCTCCCTCTGGGGCTCTGGAAACTCAGGGTCCTTTAGTTCTGATGTTCCTCTCTCCTTCTGGGATTTGCCTGTCAGCCCCTCCGGGCAGAGCCTGGAAGTCCGGACGCTTGGGATCTGCTCCTAACCTCTGACCCCAAACCCTCCAGGACTCGCACAGCCTCCGTCTGAGCCCTGCCAGCCGGTGCGGGCAGCGCCTGGCAGCATTGTGGGCTCCCTATTGTGGTCGAGACAGAGATGCAGGTCACGAAGTCCATCCCTCAGTGGCAGTGGGTGAAGGCACCGTTCTGTCCGTGAGCAGCTGTGGGGCATGGCGGCCCTCCTATCCCAAAGCTGGGTCTTCTCACCTCCCACTCTGACCAGGCAGTCCCAGATCTCAATGGAGAATTTTTCCAGGGGCTTCCTCACTGTCCCCACCTCATTTTAGTAGGTCTTTCCAAACCCCTTCTCACCCTCAATTACTAGCATCTGCTGTGTGCTCTTTAACATGTCTCTTTCCCTTTCTGAACTTCAGTGTCCCAGTCTGAAAAACGGTGGTGGTGGGGTGGGGGGGGCTGTTAATGAGTCTTCTGTAGCTTCGGAGTAGAGGTGAAGCTGGAGGTTACAGGGGTGAGCGGTGAATGTAGATGCCACCTCAGCCCTCCTCCGTCCCTCTGTGGTGAGATCTGTGGGGAGTTCCTGATTTCTCAGGCCCTGGGGTGTCTCCACACCTCACAGCCTCAGGCCTCCCAGGAGGCCTTACCCGTAGGAGGGAAGGAGGGAGGGAGGGAGGGAGGGACGTGCTGAGCTGTCCAGGACACAACCTTGCTTTTGCAACACTTTCCTTCCTCCAGCCCCCATCCTCTTCCTCCTGGGGGCTGAGGGCAGGCAACCGGACACACACATCCGGGGCCAGTCAGGGCTCTGGGGTTCCCACAGACCTGTTCATACCAGGGGAAGGGGAAATGGCAGGGAATTGGGGCTGGAGGGTCTCCCTGACTCTCAGGTGGGGCAGGAGGCTGGGCTGCGCAACCCTGGGGGCTGTCCTCAAGGGTCTGTCCCAGGAGCCTTGGTTATGGCCCACCCCTCCACTAGAGTGTTTGAAGTTTTGTTGAATTCACGTCTGGAGTTCCTCTGCCTGCTTGGGGAGGCCTGAGGTGGGGGTAGGTTATGTCAACGTCTCTGAGCCTCAGACTCTCCAGCTTTCACATGGGGATGGGGAAGCCTTTCAAGGTCGCACGCAGGACCGCCCTAGCCGGGGCTTTGTAACGGGTCCAGGCTGAGGGCAGGAGGGACAGAGGTGAGCTAGTCTGTGGGGGCTCCGTGTGACTGGCTGCTAAGGGGGACTGGGAGGAGAGAGGAGGGATGGGCCTCACCAGTCTGACCAGTGACTCCGCGGTGGGCCAGACCCCCCATGCTGACGGGGGCAGGCAGGCAGGGACGTGGGTGGGACCTGTGACGGGTCTCCAGGCCTGAGGGGGTGCAGATCATCCCCGCGCGGGGCCCCGCGGCTTCTATGACCGCATTCTCCGGAGCATAACTCAGGATCAGCCCTCTGACGAGTCTGGGCATGTGAGCCCTTCGAAGAGTTCTAGGGGGAGAATGACAGGGGCTGTCAGTGCAGAACTACGGCGATGGGGGCTGCTCCAGGTGCTGGGGAGTCCACCCTGGGGGGGGGGTGGGCGGTGAGAGGAGAGAATGATTGCTTTCCCTTTCCTCTAGAAGCCCCCCTCTGGCCAGCTCGCTTAACTACCCGCCTCTCCCCTTCCCACGTTGGACCCCACCCGTCCGGGGTAGGCTAGTGGGCTGGGGGTACCAGACCGCCGGCGTCGCCCACTGCGCCAGTGGAGCCCGGGACCTGAGCCCGCCTCTGCTACTCGATTGGGCGCTCATTTAAATGTCCGGCCCCGCCCCGAGGTCGGGGCGCCTATATAAGGCGGCTCGGCGGGCGGCGGGCGGCATTCTGGCGCGGAGCGGAGCGGTGGTGGGCGCAGCTAGCGGGTCGGGCGCCGAGAGGGGGTGCAGCTCGGTTCCCCCCCCGATACCCCTCCCCCTCAGGCTCGAGCCCCACCCCTCCGCCGGCCAGGCCGACCCGGCCGAACTATCCCCTGCGGCGCGAGCCCGGGGCGGTCCCGGGCGCCCCCCAACAGACCCCCCATCATGGGCAGCCAGAGCTCCAAGGCTCCCCGGGGCGACGTGACCGCCGAGGAGGCAGCAGGCGCTTCCCCTGCTAAGGCCAACGGACAGGTGGGTGCGCTCGGCACGGCCCGACCTGGCCCCCTCCTCCCGCACCTCGCCCCCTCTGGGGCCCTGGGCCGGGGCCGCGCGCTTTGTCCGGCCCGGGACACGCGGCGCCCCCTCCCCCGCCCGGTCCCTTTGTTCTCGGCGCCGCAGCCCCCGCGGGCGAAGCGAGGGGAGGGGCGGGGAGGGGGCGCCGGCCCGGCCCTGCCGCCTTCTTTGTTTGCGGCCCCGGCCCCCGGCGCTGCCCCCGGCCGCCCCGAGTGCCGCGCGGGGAACAAAGGCGCTGCCCGGCCGCGCCAAGGGGGCGCCCAGGGGCCGCGGGGCGGGTTCCCGGGGGGAGGGCACTCCACCCGCAGACCCGACCTCGGTGGCTCACGGCCTTTTTTTAGTGGGGAGTCGAGATGTGGGGAGAGCTGGGTGGGGGGCCGGTTGCACAAAGCGGGAGGCTGGGAAAATGGGCCGTCCAGGTGGGGAGAAGAGCGCCCCGTGGCGGCTTCCCGCCCGATGTTGGCTTGTTGGGCTCGCCCGCCTGCCGGGGATCGGCGGCGGCGAGCGGGTCCCCGCCGAAAGGAGAGCGCGCCCCGGGGGAGGTGGGTGGGGGGCCACGGGACCCCAGCGCCTCCTGCCGGCCGCGGCCTCTGCGCGCTCGGCCCCCGCGCGCTCGTGAGGACAGGAGGGAGATGTTTGACGGGATCCCGGTGTGGGTGAGGCTACAAGCAGCCTCCTGGGTTGCAGAAGAATCGGGATCCCATTGCTTGGAAGAGGTCCGCGGCGGGCTGGGGGAGGAGGGGTAGAGCCCTGGCCCTCATTGCTGTCTCCTCTGCCCTGCAGGAGAATGGCCACGTGAAAAGCAATGGAGACTTATCCCCCAAGGGTGAAGGGGAGTCGCCCCCCGTGAACGGAACAGAGGAGGCAGCCGGGGCCACTGGCGATGCCATCGAGCCAGCACCTCCTAGCCAGGGCGCTGAGGTCAAGGGGGATGCCCCCGCCAAGGAGACCCCCAAGAAGAAGAAGAAATTCTCTTTCAAGAAGCCTTTCAAATTGAGTGGTCTGTCCTTCAAGAGAAATCGGAAGGAGGGTGGGGGTGATTCGTCTGCCTCCTCACCCACCGAGGAAGAGCAGGAGCAGGGGGAGATCGGTGCCTGCGGCGAGGAAGGCACAGCCCAGGAAGGGAAGGCTGTTGCCACCCCTGAAAGCCAGGAGCCCCAGGCCAAGGGGGCAGAGGCTAGTGCTGCCTCCAAGGGAGGAGACACAGAAGAAGAGGCAGGGCCCCAGGCTGCAGAGCCATCCACCCCCTCGGGGCCGGAGAGTGGCCCTACACCTGCCTTCGAGCAGAAGGAGTAGCTGGGTGGGGGCAGGTGGGTGATCTCTAAGCTGCAAAAACTGTGCTGTCCTTGTGAGGTCACTGCCTGGACCTGGTGCCCTGGCTGCCTTCCTGTGCCCAGAAAGGAAGGGGCTGTTGCCCCCTCCCAGCCACGTGCCCTCTCCTTTTCCCTCCTGTGGATTCTCCCATCATCCATCTGGCCTTCCTCTTAAGGCCGGTTGAAGATGGTCCCTTGCAGTTTCCCAAGTTAGGTTAGTGATGTGAAATTCTCCTGCCCCTGGCCCTACCTCTGCTGTCCCCACCCCTGAAGAAGGCAATTGCTGGTTTTCTTCCCCAGTTCTTTTCCAAGTAGGTTTTGTTTACTCCCCAAATCCCTGAGCCAGATGTGGGGTGCCTACACTCCCAAACCCTGAGTGTCCAGCCTTCCCCCCTGTTGAGTTTTTAGTCTCTTGTGCTGTGCCTAGTGGCACCTGGGCTGGGGAGGACACTGCCCCTGTCTAGGTTTTTATAAATGTCTTACTCAAGTTCAAACCTCCAGCTTGTGAATCAACTGTGTCTCTTTTTTGACTTGGTAAGCAAGTATTAGGCTTTGGGGTGTGGGGGGGAGGTCTGTAATGTGAAACAACTTCTTGTTGTCTTTTTTTCCCCCCTCCCATTGTTGTAAATAACTTTTAATGGCCAAACCCCAGATTTGTACTTTTTTTTTTTTTTTTCTAACTGCTAAAACCATTCTCTTCCACCTGGTTTTACTGTAACATTTGGAGAAGGAATAAATGTCGTCCCTTTAGTAGTGCTTTTTAATGAGTGGTCTTCTGGGGGTAGGGCAAGAAGATCGGTTAACCTCAACCCTTGAGGCGGGGATTAAGGTGAGGGGTAAGTCTGTGGGGTTGTTACGTTGTTCAGGGAGTTGCGCAGATTCTCATGGACACCAGAAGGGCACAGAAGTGGAGTAGAAATCAACGCAGGGACACTGCTAGGACACAAACTCAGGAGGATGTAGAAATGTACCAATTTATTACAAAGATTCTCACGAAAATGAAAATAGTATCTCAAAAAGGATACTAAACCACCAATCTCCACCTGCAGAATTGGGCGAGGATAGAGGGCAGGCAGTGTGAGTTCCTTGGCTCACATGGGGCTAGTGGGGAAGGTATGATAACAGAACCAACCTAAAAATGGCTGATGTTACCTTAAGGAGCCTGATTTAGGCAGGGGGCGAGGGGTGTCTCTGAAGACCCAACCACTCCTAGAATGCTCAATAAGGGCACCTCTCCAAAGCTATTAAGCAGGCACTTGGCATTTCAGGATTTTGTCCTATGGCTGCTTAAGAGTATGCCTTCCAGACCCGGCACCCTTTATGGTTCAAAAGTAGTAACTGGGGAAGGCTGGGTGGCAGCAAGGCAGCCACAGCCACTATAAAAGCTCACTCCTAACACGTGCCCTGGGCTCAGGGCCCTGGTTCCTGTCTAGTCCCAGGGGATATTTATATTTAATATATATTTATATAAATACACAGAGAAATAGAAAATATAAAATCTGAGGGCTTGTGGGAGGAAGGTGGGGAACTTGGCAGGAAGCCAGAACTGGAGAGGTCTGCTCAGGCCAACTTGACCTCCTCCTTGACCCTGTGGAGAGAGCAAGACTGGCATGAGATAATGCTCCCCAGAGGCCTTGAGGCAAAAACATGGGGACAATGACTTCTATAGGACCCCAGCTGCCCAGGTGACTGCTGAGGGCTGAGGCTTCCTAGCTCTTCCTAGAACTGCAGAGACAGACTGGTCCCTGAAAGAGGTCTTTGTAAGCTGCACCAGCTGTCCCTGTGCCTCCCCTCAGCGTAGCGGACAAAGGGGCTGGTGCTCCAATGCTGGGGAGATAGCCGACAGCTCCTTCCTCACCCTTTGGCTTCTTGCTTCTCCTCCTTGGTTTTCTCCTCTTCTATGACTTCTAGAACATAAGAGTGCAGGGATGACCAAGGGCTTCCCTCCAGAAAGACCCATGGAATCTTTACTTAGCCTAAAACCCCTTCCCCAACACTACAGCTCACTGGACATACAAAAGAGAGAAAAGCCCATCCCAGGCCCTCCCACTGAGCCCTGTTGAGAACAAACAGGTTGGACCGGTTTCCCAGCCTGCTAATGCCTGAACCTGGTGGGCGGAGGCAGCCCCCTGGGAAACTGGGGTGAAGTGCTGGGAAAAGGGCTTGGGTGGTATGTGAGAGCCACACTCCTGACCACGGAGAGCCCAGGCATGTCCCTGGCTCCAGAGCCTGGCAGGGCTCTCAATCAGCCAGTGGAGATGACAAATCGAGTTTCGTTCTTTTGTGGGGCCTGCTACTTCTGGGAGCTGAGGCAGAAGCCGGCAGAAGGCAGGGCCCGAGTCGGCTCTCTCCTCCCAATGCCCTATACAGATACATCCTCCTCTCTGGTCTGGGGCTCAAGACCCAAGGCTGGGCGTGACCCAAACCCACCTTTCTTCTCTTCTGGGTCTTTCTCTTTTTCATCCTCAGTTTTGACTCTCTTGGCTTTTTTGAAGTTGGAAGAGTTCTTGCGACCGCCTTCACCCTCCTCATCAGAGTCCGAGAACTCTTCCTCGCAGGCAATTCGTTTGTCAGAAGAACAGACTGGGAGGCAATGTGGAATGTGGGTGAGATAGCAGGAGGTGAGCTTTACCTCAGGGTCTGTGCCCGGTGCTTCCCTGTATGCCCTCTAAGAGACACCAAGGGAAGGGGAGACCACGAAGAGGGGAAGGAAACTCAAGGAGTCCCTAAATTGTTTCAAGTTCTAGCACTTGGGTTTCCCAACAGATGGGTAGCTTGAGAGGAATGCGGAACCAACAGTGGTGGGAAGTCAGAGCTACCTACTGAGTGGGAAGGCACCGGCCCCGGGGTCTGGGTCTTACTCGAGATGCGCTTGTCAGGATCTTCTTCATCCTCGTCGCCACTCTCCTCAGGAATGGCGTCCTCAGGAATCACCTGCATTTGGACCCCCGGTGCATGGGGCAGCATTCTCAGGTTCTCAAACAGTCGCTGTCTATGGCCAATGGTAGAGAGGGTGGCTGGGCTCTGGTTAGGGACAAACCAGAGCCTGGAATGTTCAGTCAGGGGGTGTCTGGGGATATACTCACTTGATCTTCTCCAGGTATTCATTGGTATTCTGGTTGGTCATATTGGAAGGACTGATGTGAAGTTTGAAATCTGGTCCAAAGTATTCAAAGTAGTCGTTGTACGGAAGCTCTAATTGGGGCAGGAGGTTAAGAGTCAAGAGACCTGGCTACCATGGGACCCTGAGAAAAGCATTTGTAGGTTTATCTGGAACTGTCAGTCCAACCATCTAACAGAGTACTTGGGTACTTTATAGGGTTTCAGTCTTTTTAATGCCGTTCTCCAGAATGAGAAGGCACAAGCCCCTGGTTTTGGGAAACTTAGGCAATGATCATTGCAAGCATGTCCTCAATGACTACCGCAGTTCCCCTATGGAGTAGAAATTCCAAAGCTATAAATAACCACTGATAATTCTGTCTAGACCAGAAGCAAAAGGGAGAGAGGACAGGGTCAAAAAAGGACTCAGGAAAAACTGGTGGTCTGACAATCCCAAGTGGATAGGCAGGATAATCAATGACAAGTATCAGAAGAGGAGAGGCCACATGGCCAACGGGAAAGGGCTCGTGAACTTGAAGACATCTGAGCTCCAGCTCTGCCCCACCCAACCTGGCCCTGGAGCTATTACCATTCGGGATCTCTGTGTCCAAGGCCACTGCTGTTTCATACGTCCAGCAGCGGGCCACGTTACGGATGGTGTAGCCGCCTCCTCCCAGCATCAGCATAGGCAGGTTGAAGCTCTTCACAAACTCCACACACTTGGCGTGCCCTTTGGTGGGAGAAAGGGGTGCTGGGTTACAGGAGCACCCTGCAGGACCCGCCCACCCATCCCTATGCTACACGGTCTCACCTTTGATGGTCAGATTGAAGCAACCTAACCGATCCCCAGACAGGGAGTCGGAACCACACTGTAAGACAACCGCACTGGGCTGGAACATCTCCATCACTTTAGATATGACCTAAAAGGACACATCCTGGTCACCACTGGCATTAAGAAAAGTTACATGATGCTCAGGGCTGCAAAGGGTGGGTGCAGTCCCTCTGCCCCCTATCATTCACTCCCACTTTTGCACTCTCCCTCATGCTGGGTGGTAAAGAGGGAACATCAGTCTGGGGCTCTTGTTTCCCTACTTGGGATTTCTATTTTCCAATTTGAAAGGCTCTCTGAGATCCTTCTAGCTCTAGGAATGCTGAATCTAGAAGAGCCTCTTCATCTTTCCCTCAACCTTTCCCTTCTTTTCTTTCACTGCCCCAACTCCAGTGCCACTTCCGACCCTGAGCTGCACCCGCCCCACACCTCAGTCCTACAGACTTTGAGCCTCATATCGTGAGGGAGGGCTCACTTTTGTCTTTCTCTTTCTGACAATATTTTGACGTTACCAGGACAAAGACCATACCTTGGGCTTCGCTGTCACCCTTACTACGCAGCATACAGTAGGCACTTGACTACCTGAACTTTTGAGTTAATACTCCAGTAATGGTTCCTTGTGGCTTGCAGGCGGAAGAGTAACTCCTCAGCTTGGCATTCAAGGCTCCCTTTGAAATACCGACCCCAACATACATTTCCTACCACATCCTCCAACAGTCCTCCCACCCATCACATTGGCCTACACACAGCTACGTACTGGCACCTTTGTGCTTCTGCTAGTGCTGTTCCCCCTGCTGAACGCCATCCCCGCCCTCCAGCCTCCACCTCCTGCTTCACATGGACAAATCCTCATTTTTCAGAGTCCAGCTCAAATAATACCACCTCTATGAAATCAGCCTTGACTACCCTCGCCCCAGCCCAGGCAGTGGTTTTTCTCCCACTCTTCTGTTCATCCTGCAAAAACAGTAATGACCACACATTGTCATGTGTGTGCCTGCCTCCCACTACATAGACTGTGAGGTCTTCAAGGTCATGATTCATGTCTTAGATAGTCTTGTCTCCAACAGAGGGCCCGACCCACAGAAGGCACCAATAAATACTTGGATGAATTTCGTTCCTCTAGCCGAGCACACAGCATATGAGCCACGGTCAAAACACATCTCCTTTCCCGACCAGCTTCTCAGGGAGGGAGAGGTTCCTGACGTATGCTGGGGGTGCTCTGCTACTCCTCCCTTAGACTAAGCCCGACTGCAACCCAGGTGGTGGATAAGCCACTTACCGGCTTGAAAATGGCCTCATAGGACTCGTCATCGATCCCATCTCGGAGCGGGTAGTTAACAGCATAATACTTGCCTTTGCCAGCCCCAATATCCTAATCAAGAGGGACATTAAAGTAAAACTGAAAGATGAAGCTAGGAAGAAGTTCAAGGATGGGGGCTGGAAGGCTAAGGACAGGCAGTGGTTCTAAGAGTGAAAAGTGGGGCCCGTGAGCTGAGCCGGGGACAGAACAGGGGCCTCTTGGTTAATACCATCCCTCTCACGGGGAAGTCTAGCTCATACCTCTGGGCACACCACTGAGCTCGTGCCCAGCCTGAGAACTATTCATGGAGCCAGAGATGGACTATCCTTCCCCACAGCACAAGAACTCCACCTTTGGACTGGGTCAGAGCTGCTGGTGGCTGGGTCACAGAAATCATACCCACCCTGGGACAACCTTTTCTTCCCCAGAGAAGGTGGAAGAGTTCTTTAAAATTGGAAATACCCACGTATTCAAATGCTTGCCACAGCAAACAAATGAATTACTGCCACTTTTTCACCAGAGGGCTACCGCATGCCATAGGGCTGGTTTCATCTTCATGTTAATAGAAGCAGATGTGGGGCGCCTGGGTGGCTCAGTGGGTTAAAGCCTCTGCCTTCGGCTCAGGTCATGATCCCAGGGTCCTGGGATCGAGCCCCGCATCGGGCTCTCTGCTCGGCGGGAAGCCTGCTTCCCTCTCTCTCTCTGCCTGCCTCTCTGCCTACTGTGATCTCTCTCTGTCAAATAAATAAATAAAATCTTTAAAAAAAAAATTAAAAAAAATAAAAATTAAAAAAAAAAATAGAAGCAGATGTAACAGTTCAGTGAGTTTGCTTCTGAGGACTCTTATCCTGAGGTCTACTGATGGGTTTCATTAAGGGGAGGTGTCTAATTAACTATTCAGTATCAGATACAAAACATTTCCTACACTTTCCTAGGGACAGAGTCCATAGCTTTCAGTCAGGTGATCAAAGGGAAAGGTTAAGAACCCTTGAGATGGTCCATTAGGGTCCCAATTCCTAGCCCCCAGAAGAAAACCTGATGTTTTGGGTTTTTTTTGAACCTGATGTTTCTAGCCTAAAATTCAAGTCATATGGACATCTGAGTAGTGTAATGTAACTTAGTAATGGCCTGGAGGGACCTGTCATGTGACCCCTATCCCTCCAACCCTTTGGGCCCCATCGTTCCCTTCCTCCAGAATAAGGGAGGGAAGGAGACTCAAGCAGGTACCCTACGCTGGGGTATGGCATTCTGAATGGCAGAAGAGGCAGGAAGTGGTTTCTGGTGACATGAGATAGGAGAGTTAGAGCTGGCAGCTGAGGGTGAGCTAGTAGGCCCCTGAAGGGAGTTCTCACCCGTAGGTCCCCAGTTCCTGGGAAGTACTCTCCGTATTTATGAAAGGACACAGTCATGACCCGGTCTGTGGTATAGAAGGCCTCTTCCACGCCATCGCCGTGGTGAATATCAATGTCAATATACAGCACCCTCTGGTGATACCTAGGATCAGAAGGGGGTCAGGGGTCTGGGGGCTCTCTGGGAATGGGACGCGCCAAGGGCGCCAGGTCCCAGCTTACCGGGCTGGCTGCCTCCCTCAGGTATCTCTAAGCACCAGAGACGCGGAAACTGGCTGAAGGAAGGTGGAAGAGCGGCAGGGTGTCTCCAGAGGCCTGACCAAGCCGACCAAGTCCGATCTTCCTACTCTACAGCAAGGGTCAACTCCAGCCACACAGGGACACTCTGGAGGCAGGATCTGAGCAGCGCCTGCCCCTGATCTTGCCGTGGGCTCAGATCAAACCAGGACCCCGTCAAGGAGAGGATGGCCAGAGACACTCACTGAACACATCCTAGCCAGCACACTGCTAGGAAAAGCAAACTAGGGAGGCAAGCCCGGGGGAGAGGGAAGTGGGAACCTGGCCTAAGGAGCTCCTGCAAGAGACAAGGCCAGGCAGGCGTACTTCAGCAGTTCCAGGATGGCCAAGACGATATCATTGACGTAACAGAAGCCAGATGCCTCAGACTTCTTTGCATGGTGCAGGCCCCCGGCCCAATTCACAGCGATGTCCGTCTGTTGCTTATTAAGTTTCACAGCACTCGCTGGGTGTGGGAGAGTGAACGTAAGACTGTTAGCAAGCCGTTCTCCCCCTTTCCCCAAGAAGCCCAGGAAACCCGGTAAGAGGTGGGACCTATTCGACAATGGGACTGTATGATCCAAGGGCCAGTCCTCTCCCTCCCTCCCTCCCTCTTCCAGCGGGGAGTAGATATGACGCTGGCTACTCTCAACAACTTTTTCCCAAACAGAGGGTGGTAACCCATCAGTAAGCCTTAGAGCTGGTTTAGTGGGTCATGACTAGTGTGTGTGTATTAAACAAAACAAACTAAGATAAAGTAACAGTAAAGGTAACTGCTCTCCTGTAAAGCTGGCTTCAGAGCAAGAACGTGTGTGCGCAACCTTGACTGCAAATGTAAATGTATTTCTTACTGGGGTTCACGGTCAAAAAACGGTGAAGATATTAGAGGTATTAGGAGCTCAAAGTACAAACAGGCCCAGAAGTGAGGGAAATACACACTTGTGTATTCAGGTGCATGTACGGCAGTGTAACCACAACAGCAATAAAAACACGAACGAGCCAAGTGATCCAATAAAAGGGGACTGATTATATATCAACCAAAGTTGGCCCATAATGTGGAATAATCACACAGCCACTAGGCATTATGCTATAGAGTACGTGAGCTAAAGAACTTTTAAAGATTTACTCAGTTAAAGATGCGGACACAAAACTATATGCATGTGATGCATTTTTGTAAAATACAGATGTACATGTTATATCCAGATATATACGTACAGAATAAAGAATGGATATACAAACACCAAAATGGTAATAACGATTATTCACAGACAGCATGATCGTAGGCAATTTTTTCCTGAGATGATCTGAGATGATATTGGGAGCCGAGTGAAAGGGGAGAGGACAGAAAACAATGATCATAGGAAAATAAATATTTGTTAAGAAAGGGTTTAGAGTAATCATAGAGGTAATCTAGGAGTTAATAATGGAAGTGGGAGATATGTGGGGAGTATTTCTGACCTCTAAAGGTGATTACTATGGTCTTTTGTAAGACACAGATGATGACACTTCCCATTTTTATAGCACTTTGCAGTTTGCAAACTGCTTCTATGTACAGCATCTCCACAACTCCACGGGGTCTGCAGGGAATTCCAGTGTGTAAGATCTCTTGGTAGGAAAGAACAGTCAAGGACACCCAACAGTACCCTGTCAGAGACTGAACCTGGGCTGGAACTAAACCAGAGGGTATTTTAAAGACCTAAGGTAAAAACTCATAGGACCATTTTACAGGGTCACCGATCAGCCCTACTGGGACAGCGGCCCAAAAGGCAGACCTCACTAGTACAACCCAGCACAGGCCACGAGGAGGGAATTATATTCCTTACCCACAGAGCCACCAGTAGATAACTGACAGAACTCAAACAGGCCATCAAATACCGGACAGTCCTCACCGACGTTGACTTAAAAGACATAAGACAAAGGTTAGTTTCCAAAATTCCTTTGTTTTTTGTTTACATATTTATGAAGCCTATGGGGGCGGGGTGGGGGAGGGAATATAGAATTTGGGTTCAGGAGGCTTGGGTTCTAGTCCAGGCTCTATCTCTTACTGGTTTTGTGATTGGGTCAAATCATTTAACTTCCCAGAGCTTTGGCTCATTATCTTTAACTAGCAATCATGATACCTGCCTCACCTAACCACTGAGAAGATGAACAGAAATCTTTATGGGGAAGAGCATAGCCAGTGAGTACTTAGAAAATGTTGGCTCTTTCCTTGAGGGAGAAAAGCGGAGCTGCTTATTCCTGGGTTTGTTCCAGATCTCTCTCCAGCTGACCAACAAAGCAGGGAAGAAATGAGACCTGTGTAACCATCATCCACTGAATGCTTAACAGTGTGAATGCCAGGTGCTGTGCTAAAGGCATTTTAAATTCCTTATGCCCTTCATCCTCCCGTAACCTTCTCCTTCTGACCTTCTGAGCCAAGATTTGGTCTTACTTTACAAATGGGGAAACCTGCTCAGAGAGGTCAACGGCTAGTGAACAGCAGAGGCGATATTTAAGCATTGGTCCGCTTGCCCTAAAAGCCCATGAAAACGCACTCTGGCTTTCTTCCCAATAATCTCATGTACAGTCTCATTTGGTCCTCGTCACAACCCCGTGAGCTGGGCAGGACACATCCACCCCACCGTCCACAGGGACAAACAGATCCCAAGCATTAAGTGACCTGCCCACGGTCCTATAAGCAGCCAGTGGCAGAGACAGAATCAGGGTCCAGGTGTCTCAACTCCCACAGTTCAGTGCTCTCTCTACTACACCTCTGAGTGACAACCGGAGTCAAGTCATTTCAGACCCAAAGGGGCAAAAGCACAAACTACTGCGTAATGAGGAAATACATGCAAACTGTGATGCAAATGAACTGAGAGACAGGAAGGGAAGCGCATCTGAGGGCCATGGAGTCACAGGGTGAGAGAGGAACCTTAGGGCTCCAAGTCTCCTCTCCCAGAAAAGGCAACTGCTAGGGGCGCCTGGATGGCTCAGTCAGTGCGGCATCCTACTCTTGGTTTCGGCTCAGGGTTGGCTCAGGGTTGTGAGATCAGGCTCCATGCGCAGCAGGAGGGGTTGTTTGAGATTTTCCCCCTCTCCCTCCCCCCTACCCCTCCCCTCCTCAGACTCAGGCTCTTTCTCTCTCTCAAAGAAGTAAAATCAAAAAAAAAAAAAATGATACAAATCGAGCCCCAACTCTACTGAGACATGAACGATACACAGGAAATTAGAGGCAGGGTAGGCTATTCCTTGCCCCAACCTTCCTACTGCACCTGCTGCTATCAGCCGGGGTTCCCCAAGTCAAGCAGGGAGGATCCCTGGGAGGAGGAGGGTAGCAGAGCCCGGCTCGGACTGTGGTAACCTTCGGAGAGACAGCTGAAGCTCAAAGTGTGCAATAACTACAAGTGTTACTAACTCTGGCACTGCCCTGAACTTGGAGGGTGCCCCGCCAAGACAAGTGCTTTGAGGAAGGATGGCCCACACAAGGGGGTGAGCAACAGTACCTGGCTCTCACCCCACTGCCCGGGTAAACACTGGGAGGCTGTGTCAATAAGAACTTTGGTCCCTGGAGCCAGGCTCTTTATCCAATGGCAACCAAATGCCCCTTCCAGCTGCTTCCTGCCTCACTGGGTTTGGTCTGCCTAGACCCCCATTTGGGATGTGGAGCCACCATGGGAAGAAATGGTTGTTTTATCTGTTTTTTGTTGTTGTTGTTGTTCTTGTTGTTATTATTATTTTTAAGTAAGTTTTTTTTTTTTAAGATTTTTTTTTTAATTTATTCATTTGACAGAGATCACAAATAGGCAGAGAGGCAGGCAGAGAGAGGGAGAGAGAGGAGGAAGCAGGCTCCCCGCTGAGCAGAGAGCCCAACATGGACCTCGATCCCAGGACCCTGGGACCATGACCTGAGCTGAAGGCAGAGGCCTAACCCACTGAGCCACCCAGGTGCCCCTTAAGTAAGTTTTATATCCAACGTGAGGCTGGAACTCATGACCCCAAGACAGAGTCATGTGCTCTACTGACTGAGCCTGCTGGGTGCCATAAGAAATGGTTGTTTTGGATAGGAGAAAAAAGTATTTTCCTTCAGGCCCTAAACCAACATGTGGCTCAAATGGCCAGCCCATCATGCTCAGTTCAACAAGCTGTGTGACTGGAGATGGAGAGGGGGCAAAGGGGAGGCAGCCCCTCACTTGGGCTAATGCATGAAATGAGGGAGGACTTTTCTATGGGTTTCCCTCTTCCCACTATAAATACGTTTCTTACTCTTAGGCTGACGTTAGGCTGAAGGGAGCAACACTGAATGAGAGAAGGGAGAGTGGAGGGAGATGGAGAAGGCAGTAAAAAGCGCACTGCACGAAGAGATGCATGGATTAACAGGGACTCAGGAGAGGCCTTACCCCACTGTGGTGCTATGAGGGGGTCGGTGGTAGGACAGAAAGGGTGTATGATCAAGGGGAGGCATCCTGGGGTTTCAACTATATTGGTAATGTTTTCTTTCTTAGAACGAAAGGCCAGTAGTGGGGTACTTGAATTTTCATTCTATTACTTTTTATACTTTTGTGTGTGTGTCTGAAATATTTTGCACACTATTTATTTAAAAATACTCCAGAATTAGGAAACGAGTTCCATTCTCCATCCTACCACTACTTTGCTGGGTGACCCTGGGAAAGTCATTTCGCCCCAGTTTATATATCTAAAAAATGGACGATTATGCCTCCAAATTTTGCCACCACAATTCCCCTTTATCATTTGTCCACCACATTTCATATTCTGATAAACTACCAGGAAAAAAAAAATTGCATTTTTTTTTTGACGTCTGAACCAATTTTATTTATTTACTATTATTTTTAAGAAGGCCTGAGCCCTGGGATGCCTGGGTGGCTCAGTCGGTTAAGCATCTGCTTTCAGCTCAGGTCACGGTCCCGGGGTCCTGGGATCAAGGACCCATTGGGCTCTTTGCAAGCAGCCTGCTGCTCCCCCTGCTTGTGTGCTCTCTCTCTGACAAATGAATATATAAAATCTTGAAGAAAAAAAAAAAAGAAGAAGAAGAAGAAGGCCTGAGCCCAATAGGCCACGAGCACCCCAGGAGGCAAAGGCTAGCTGACAGGGGACCGAATGCAAATGTGCAGATCACACCAGGCTGTCAGGGAGCCTACTGTACATAATGGTCCCATTTTAACTAATTATTGGCTCAGACCTTCTGATCAAGGTTCTCGAAATCTCAAAATGACCACAAACATTTATTACATTCTAGCTAAGAGCAAGGAAGCCTAACTTACTTAGTTTATTACATGTATAACTTCCTAGATTAGGTGTTAGCTCTCACATCCCTGTTACTGTCTCTGTAGGTACCCCTGGTTATACAGTGCTTCACAAAGTGACACCTTTCTATAACTCTATGAATCAAGTCAGGGAGGCGCCTAAAGTCCTTAGAGAGCCTCACCCTTCCATCTTCAATGAGAGAAAATCCCAGACCTAATTTTTTTTTTTTTTAAAGATCTTATTTATTTATTTGACAGAGAGGGAGAGAGAGATCACACATAGGCAGAGAGGCAAAGAGAGAGGGAAGCAGGTTCCCCACAGAGCAGAGATCCTGATGCAGGGCTCGATCAGGACCCTGAGATCATGATCTGAGCTGAAGGCAGAGGCTTAACCCACTGAACCACCCAGGCGCCCTGCAAACCTAATTTTTATTTTTATTTTTATTTTTTTTAAGATTTTAGTTATTTATTTGACAGAGAGAGATCTCAAGTAGGCAGAGAGGCAGGCAGAGAGAGAGAGGGGGAAGCAGGCTTTCCTCTAAGCAGAGAGCCCGATGTGGGGCTTGATCCCAGGACCCTGAGATCATGACCTGAGCCAAAGGCAGAGGCTTTAACCCACTGAGCCACCCAGACGCCCCCAAACCTTATTTTTAAATGCACAATCTTAGAACGCTAATTTCAGGAAAACTGGAACAAACTGGGAGCCAGAACCAAACCTGGGCATTCCTCAGAGCCTAATATTTTATGTCTGCCTTGACAGATTTGAAAATAATGAAAGCTGGGACACCTGGGTGGCTCACTTGGTTAAGTGTCTGCCCTTGGCTTAGATCCTGATCCCAGGGTCCTGGGATCTAGTCCCACACTGGGCTCCTTGCTCAGCAGGGACCCTGCTTCTCCCTCTGCCTACCACTTCCCCTGCTTATGCTCTCTTTCTCTCATTCTCTGACAAATAAATAAAATCTTTAAAAAAAATGAAAGTAATATGTCATCATAGCAAAAATTACTATTCATTGACAGTCATGCTATCTCACTTATCCTCACCAACTTCCACTATGAAATAGGCACTATTATCTTTCTTTCTTTCTTTTCTTTTAAGACTTATTTATTTGGGAGAGAGAAAGAGCATGCATGAGGAAGGCGGCAGAAGGAGAGGAAGAAAGACAAGCAGACTCCCCGCTGGTCAGGGAGCCTCACGGGGAGCTCGATCCCAGGATCCTGGGATCATGATCTGAGCTGAAGGCAGACGCTTAACTAACAGAGCTACCCAGGCTCCCCGTCTTCCTTTTAAAGAAAAGAAAACAGGGTTCCCTGGGTGGTGCAGTCAGTTAAGCACCTGACTCTTGATTTTGGGTCAGGTCACGATCTCAGGATCATGAAATCAAGCCCTGCATCCGACTCTGAGCTCCGGGATCCGTACTTAGTAGCAGAGTCTGCTTGAGATTCTCTCTCCCTCTTCCTCTGCCCCTCCCCCATGCACAAGCACTCTCTCTCTCTCTAAAATAAATAAATAAATCTTTAAAGCTAAATAAATAAGAAGAGAAGATGAGGCTCAGAGAGGCTAGGGACTTGCTTAAGAACACACAGCAGCAGAGTGGCAGAATGAATGGATTCAAACCAAGACATCAAAACTCATTTTCTTGCTTCAACACCAAGTTGCTTCTCCAATGAGAATCCTCTCTGCTGACAGTGGAGCCTGATCACAGGCCTAAAAAGGTTATGAGAAGCACTAAAGCCATCTAGAGCAAAGGAAGGAATTTGTCTCATCTTGGAAGCAAATAAGATCTTGTCAATTTCGAAGAGCAAACACTATACTTGGAGGAGGCAGCAGCTCCTGGAGTTGTAAGTGGTAAAGAAGCTTGATGCTTTAAAAAAAGGTCTCTGTGGTTCTGTAACCATTACAACTACACGATTATTATAACAAATAAACTTTCTGCCTTGGGAATCAGACTACCTTGTGGCCAGTACAACAAGTGCCACAGATTTGCTGATATTTCAAAATAAGCTGTAATGAGCTAATCAAAACAACTTCTGGACAATGTTGTTTCATTGTTTCATTTTATGAGATAGTAGGTGCTGAGAGAGAATTTCTAAAAGAACACAAGGGAGAAGTCAGGTATGAGAGTTTTCTCCCAAATTTCGACACATTTTCTCCCACAGCTGAAATAGTCCCCATGATTCCTACAAACTGAGTGTAGCTCCTGAAATGCCACCTGCTCTGTGTTTGAGTCTCAGGACACAGGAGGAGAATCACCTCAACTCAAAGATCACGTCATCTAGAGTCTGTTCTAAGTAGCTACTCGATTCTCAATTACTGCTCACAAAGTGAGAGCAGTTATACTTGTACGGGATGACACCCAGTCTATTGTGCAAAAGAAAACTCTAAGGGGAAGTGACTCGCCCAGTCAGTGAGGAGTCAGAGCTGCGGCTTGTATCTCCTGTGTCCCTCTCCCAGGTCAGTGCTCTTTCCATCGTAACATTTACAGTTTCCTCAGCACAGTGTTGTGAACCGAACTAGACAAAGATCAAACTTTATTCTTTATATTCAAGATAAGAGGAAAACTGGGGGCGCCTGGGTGGCTCAGTGGGTTAAAGCCTCTGCCTTTGGCTCAGGTCATGATCTCAGGGTCCTGGGATCGAGTCCAGCATCAGACTCTCTGCTCAGCAGGGAGCCTGCTTCCCCACCCCACCCCACCCTCCGCCTGCCTCTCTGCCTACTTGTGATCTCTCTCTCTCTCTGTGTCAAAAAAATAAATAAAATCTTTAAAAAAAAAAAAAAAAGATACAAGGAAAACTAGACTTGAGAAAAAAAAGCAGCACTCAGCCTCCTTGAGGCAGGGGAAATCAGGTGTCGGCTGAATGGGAGCTACGAGGGAAGGCAGGGCTGCGGACCTCTGTGATTCCAAGGCAGACCCAAGTGGGGCTTCTCAAGGAAGGAGGAACAGAAGGGACTTACATCTCTGCATCTGCTTGCTGTACTCGGACATGTTATCTGGGCGGATGGAGCGCAAGAATTTAATGTAGTCGTCACTGTGGTACTTGGTCATCTCCTCAGCATTGGCTTTGTGAGGGCGCTAGAGGGCAGAGGGGAGAAAGGACACGTTATTCTGACCACGGCCAGTCTTCACTCAATCTACTCTAACACCTGCATCTGCCCAGCACTGAGCTGGATGCTGTAAAGGTTAACAAGCAATGACTGATTAGATTAAGGCTTCCCTGTCACTCTGGCTCTGTTGCTTAGGCAAGTCTCTAGTGAGCCTCAATTTTCTCAGTTACTAAATAGGGACAACTTCTACCTCACATGGATCGTGAGAATTGGATGAGATGTTAAATCTCTTTGTAAACTGTGAGGCGCTTTATAAATTCTTATTTCTTTTTAGTATTAACTATAACAATATATAGTTATGGGCCAAATGGCTCCAAGAGGTTGAAAAAAAGGGGTGACTAGTAATAACTGAAATAGAAGTCTTATAAATCATCATCACACCAACAATTCTGATCATACCCTCCCCACTGAAGCTTCCTTGACATGGTAATTTCCGGGTTATCCTAATATTCTGATTCATCTTTCCCTCTTTTTTTTTTTTTAATTTATTTATTTGGCAGACAGAGATCACAAGTAGGCAGAGAGGCAGGCAGAGAGAGGAAGGGAAGCAGGCTCCCTGCTGAGCAGAGAGCCCGATGCGGGGCTCAATCCCAGGACCCTGGGATCATGACCTGAGCCGAAAGCAGAGGCTTTAACCCACTGAGCCACCCAGGCACCCCATCTTTCCCTCTTTTGAAAAAGTCTCTTCTCGGGATGCCTGGGTGGCTCAGTAAGTTAAGTGTCTGCCTTTGGCTCAGGTCATGACCCAGGATTCAGGGATCAGGCTCCTGGCTCAGCAGGGAGCCTACTTCTCCCTCTGCCTGCCGCTCCCCCTGCTAGTGTGATCTCTCTGACAAGTAAATAAATAAAATCCTAAAAAAAAGAAAAATTGTCTTCTCCGGACACCTGGGTTGCTCAGTCCGTTAGGCATCTACATTCAGCTCAGGTCATGATTTCAGGATCCTAGGATCCGGCCCAGTGTCAGGAGTCTGTTTCTCTGTCTCCCTCTGCGCATCCCCCTTCTCACACTCACTCTTTCTCTCTCTGCCTTAAATAATTACATAAATTAAAAAAATCTTATTTAAAAAAAATTTAAAATTTCTCTTCTCTTCCTCTCATCCCTTAAAAGTAGGTTTTCTTCTAAGATGACCCTCTGCTTTTCTAACTACCAATACCTTTCTTTTCAATCCACACTTAACATTGTTTACCCTGAGACAGGCACTGTATGTCGTTTTGTGATCCTTACAACAACCTCTTAAACTCTGTATGATTAGTACCCTCCCTTTGCCCATAGGGAGGTGAAGTAATTTGCCCACGGTTCCGCAGCTGGTAAATTGGACTAGGGACCCCGAGGCGCGGCTGCAGGCACTAGCTGGCTCTTGCTTTAGCCTCACTTAATATAAAGAGGAATGTAAGACTACAAAATGAAGATTTTTTTTTTAAAGATTTTATTTATTTATTTGACAGAGAGACACAGCGAACAGCAAGAGAGGGAACACGAGCAGGGAGAGTGGGAGAGGAAGAAGCAGGCTTCCTGATGAGCAAGGAGCCCAATGTGGGACTTGATCCCAGGACCCCAGGGCCACGACCTGAGCCGAAGGCAGCTGTTCAACAGCTGAGCCACCCAGGTGTCCTGAAGACTGTTTTCTGTAACACACCCATACTGAAAGAAACAAGGCTTGGCTCCAAATACTAAATTGTTTTTACTATATTAAGCCCTTTACCCTCATGGCAATGTTGTGGATGCAGCTCTGACTATCCCTTCTACAAAGATACCTGCCCAGACTCAACTCCATCTTGATTTCTGCTCTGAGCTCCAGATTCACAATTCCAACAGCTTCTCAGCCAGCTCCACCTGTGAATCCTAGAGGCATTTCAAATCCAACTGGATATAACAACTTAGAGAGAACCCAGACGCATTCAAATTTAACTTCACTTCCAGACTTCTCTTTTACTATTTTAGTTAATGACACCAACATCCACTCAGGCTGAGAAACTAAGTGTAATCCTTAACTCCACCCTTTCTTGACTTCCATTTCAACCCACTGCCTATCCCCTTCATTATACCTCCCCCATAATCCTGACCGCATCCTCGCATTATTTCTCCTATGCTCTTCTTTCCCAGGGTTCCCATACTCACCCACATCTACCCAGTTGCTCAAGACAGAAACCACCCTTAACTCCGCACCCCTGATCTACTACCTTCAACAAAGATAAAGCCCATCTCAAAAGCCACCTCTTGGGGCGCCTGGGTGGCTCAGTGGTTAAAGCCTCTGCCTTCGGCTCAGGTCATGATCTCGGGGTCCTGAAATCGAGTCCCGCACCGGGCTCTCTGCTCAGCAGGGAGCCTGCCTCCTCCTCCTGTCTCTCTCTGCCTGCCTCTCTGCCTACTTGTGATCTGTCAAATTTAAAAAAAAAAAAAAGCCACCTCTTTCACGAAGTAAAAGCAAATCTTGCTCTAAGAACCTAACTTCATCCCAGACCACAGAGTTTCAAGAAATATGGCCTCACAGTCAAAAATCACAGAACATGCAAGGGTGCCTGTGTGGCTCAGTTAATTAAGCATCTGTCTTCAGCTTGGGTAATGATCTCAGGGTGTTGGGATGGAGCCCCACAGCTCAGCAGGGAGTCTTCTTGTTCCTCTCTACCTTTCCTGCTGCCCCTCTCCCCTGCTTGTGTTCTCTCTCTCTTCCCCCTCCTCTCAAATAAATAAAATCTTAAAAAAAAAAAATCACAAAACATCCAAGCTCACAGAAACAACAAAGAGCAAGGCCGCCTGGGTGGCTCAGTGTGTTAAAGCCTCTGCCTTCGGCTCAGGCCATGATCTCAGGGTCCTGGGATGGAGCCCTGCAATGGACTCTCTGCTCAGCAGGGAGCCTGCTTCCTCTTCTCTCTCTTTGCCTGCCTCTCTGCCTACTTGTGATTTCTGTCTGTCAAATAAATAAATAAAATCTTAAGAAAAAATAGCAGAAAGAGATTTATAAAGAGCTTGGACATATGTTTAAATTTTTTAAAAAACTGCATTACATTTCTATATCCCAGTAAATAATCTAAATATGAAAAATTTTAAAGATAAAGTTCATGAGAGCATTAAAAAGAAATACTTGGGGGAAAAAATCAAATGAATGATGTGCATGACCTTTACGGAGAAATTTATAAAACTTTAGACTGATAGCCAAAATCTCAACAACCCATCAACAGCTGAATGGATAAATTATGGTACATTCTACAGTAAAATACTACACAGCAATTAAAATGAACAAACTACAAGAAATAGACATTGTGTAATTCCACTTATATCAAGTTTGGCAAAATTGAACTATACTGTATTAGGGATGCATATTTAGGTAATTAAATTATGAAGAAGAATGAGGAGCAATTAATAGAAAAGTCAGGATTCTGGTTACCTCTGCAGCAAGAGAAGCAGCTGTGATCAGGGCAGGGATAAGCAGGGTTCTACTTCTTGAACTAGCTGGTGTTTACATCCGTGTTTACTGTATACCGAACTGTTAAATTGCACATATGTTTTATACATTTTTCTGTGCCCATATTATATTTACAACAAAGAAGCTAAAAGAAGCCTTTATAGAAGACATTTAAAAAGACTTAACTAGGGGTGTGTGGGTGTATCTGTTGGTTGATCCCGCGGTCCTGGGGTCGAGCCCTGTATCAGGCTCCCTGTTCAGTGGGGAATCTGCTTCTCCCTCAGCCTCTGTCTTTCCCCCTGCTCATGCCTGCTCTTTGTCTCCCTCTCAAATGAATAAATGAAATCTTTAGAAAGATAAAAAATAAAATAAAAAGACTTAATTAAAAAAATAAATAAGAAGTAAAATAAAAACTCCTAAATAAATGCGAGATATGCCATGTTCATGGACTCAAAGACTAAATAGTCTCAAAAAATCGGTTCTCCCTAAAATGCTATAAAAATTCAATAAAGGGCGCCTGGGTGGCTCAGGTGGTTGAGCAACTGCCTTCGGCTCAAGTCATAATCCCAGACTTCCAGGATCGAGTCCCGCATCGGGCTTTCAGCTTCTTGGGGAGTCTGTTTCTCCCTCTGACCTTCTCCTCTCTCATGCTCTCTCTCACTCATTCTCTCTCAAATAAATAAATAAAATCTTAAAAAAAAAAATTCAATAAAATTACAACCAAAATCCCAGCAGATTTGTTTGTAGTACTTGATGAGTGAATTCTAAAATTTATAGAGAAGTACAAAGGGCAAATAGCAAGTCACTTTCTTTTTTTAAGAACAAAGTGGGAGGGGCAACTGGGTGGCTCAGTAGTTAAGCATCTGCTTTCAGCTGGGGTCCTGGGTTCGAGCCCCGTATCAGGCTCCCTGATCACTGGGAAGCCTGCTTCTCCCTTTCCCGCCACCCCTGCTTGTGTTCCTCCTTGTATTCTCTGTTAAATACATAAATAAATAAATTTTAAAAATCTTAAAAAAAAAAAAAAAAAAAGAACAAAGTGGGAGGACTTGTGCTAGTAGATACCAAGACCTACTGAGGAGTCATTATTATTAAGCCACTGGGTATTGGCATACGGGTCAATAAGCAGATCAAGTCACCAGAACACAGAACCCAGAAACAAACCCATCCACAGTGTCTGTCACAAAGTAGGAGCTTCAAGTATTTGTGGAATAAACAAATATGGACATCTCATATATAAAAGAGCTGGCACTTAGGTCAGTGGGGGAAACAACAGACTTAGTAAATCAGCTCCAATATGGGGGAAAAATTTCAGTGGATTCCTACCTCAAACCATATTAACAAATCAATTATAGATACAGTAAATACATATATGTGAAGGCAAACCTATAAAGCTTTTATCTTTTTTAATTAAATTTTATTTTTTAAAGTAAGTTCTATGCCCATTATGGGGCTTGAACTTACAACCCCAAGAGTTGCATGCTCTTTGGACTAAGCTAGCCAGGTGCCCCAAGAGAAAGATTTCTTAAGACACAAAAGCCATTATAAAGGAAACAATTAATAAATA